GCGTGCAGGAGCGCGCAGACGCCGACACGGAGCGCTTTCAGCAGGTCGGCCTGCGCGGCGCCGACAGGCGGTACGTGGACATGCGCACGCTCGCGGACGCGCTGCGCCTGCTGGACGCCGGCGTGCCGCCGCGAGAGGTCGAGGCGCGCATGGGCATGCAGGAGGGCTTGCTGCACAGGCTGGGCAGGAAGGGCGTGCTGACGCACTTGGCGAACTAGAGGGAGGGGGGGCTATTCACTATGTAACTTTGTATATGTACAACAGAGAACAAATATAGCTCAGGGAAGAGAGAGCGGAAAGCGCCGCTGCAATATGCGGGCCAATTCTTCTATTGCTGAATCGGCAGCGTCGTTTGACACATCGGTGACAGTCTGCCCGCTCAAAGGACCAACGATGCCCGAAACTGACAATCTGTGGTCAAGAACTGCTGCAATCTATGACCTTGTTTACGCGTGCTTGTCGCTGCTCCATGTTATTCGCGAGCCATCCAACTTTGTCACGCTTTGGAAAAACTCTATTCAACGCGTCCGGCCTTGCCATCCACCTCAACCAGGGTCGTTCGCCGTCGCCGGTACTTGCAACATCTCATACAGAGCGAGAGATGCACCAGACTATTCCCAAAGTCTAACTTTTCTACGCCTGGATTTCATGCTTGGACAATATCGCGCTGGTCGGTCGGCCTAGTGTTGTAGCTCGCGACAACGCCACCACAACACCGACCGTATCGATTCCAACGGCGGCTAAGATGCAAACTTTTCTTTTCTTGCAGAAGCTTCTGGCACCCATCTTCTCCAAGATGTGATTTCTCTCCAAAAGACTTCTCCAAACTCCCCCCCCCCACCCCAAATCCTGATAATCGACGTCGTCAATATGATTGCTCCATTCGGCACTTCCAAACGAAGCAGCAGCTCGCATACTCTTTTGCCAGACTTGGAAAAGGCAGAGGCAGTACATGTAGAGACTGTGGAGGCCGAGGAAGAGGCCTCATCCCCATTGTCGAGCGCTGATCTCACGTCTGATCAAGTGCGTGCCCTCGTCCTCGACGCCTTTGACTCGGCGTCTTGTCAGCTGCATTCTGCTCCTGAAGAAGGTACGCAGCTCCTTTTCTTTCTTTTTTTGGCCAAACCACCACTTTCTCGGCTCCTTCTCCCCACGTCTCTCTAACTAATGGTTAGGGATTCTAGAACCTATTGCGCCGCCACCGGCAGCCGAGATGGTCAACAGAGGGTCGGGCAGCGGCCCTCGGTCGCCGCGGCTCGTCGAGATCAAGACCAACGACGCGGTCGCCGAGCCAGAAGCTGCCCCCAAAGAAAAGCCCCGCCTCGAAGAGCCGCAAAAGGCTGATCGCGGATCGTTTATTTACGTGCCCGGGCTTGGCTTCCTCTACCAGGACGACGACATGGAGCTGGGCAAATAGGGTGTCGTGTTGTAATTGGTCTCTTGGCCGCGGCCCGCGATCCGCGACATATGCTTAGCGATTGAAAATGCTGTGTCACTTGGGGAATATGGTCGACGGACTGGCATCTTTTCGTCGAGACTAGCATAGGGTCGATCACCAGGCCAGCAGACGCAGGCTCGTCCTCATCGTCGATAATAGTGAGCCGCCATATATTGAGTTGAATATTTGTAGGGAATTCCGACAAATAGTCTGAATCCGTGTTCCATGTTATCCTATATCCACAAGCTATAACTCCGATGACGGTTAGTTTGCCCATTGGCTTGGCAGATTGTCAGCACCCGTAGATAGATAGTCTCGATCAGAAACAAACTTGATCGTCCAATATTTATATCTGACTCTCTAGAACCAAAAACTATACTTCAGCACTATACAACATATTTAATCAGGGTTGGTACTGTACACGGATGGCTGAGATGCCAGGATGACTCTCGCGACTGCTGACGAACACCGCCGATGGTCACCTGCCATGTTCAGGCCAAACTTGAGTCCCGATTTTGTATTCTCCCATCTCATTTGGCAGTAAACAATTTTCTAAGTACAGGTGAGTACGTGGCCTAGTCATCGGACTGTAGTATTGATATGCATTGGATCATAGCACCCCATTTGGTAGCGATGAGGATGCCCCGCGGCGCAGCGACGGCCGGCAAGGGCTGTTGCGTGGTTGGCAGCCCTTTCGCGGACTTGCGACCAATCATATATCGACACGCCGTTGCCGAACGTTGTTCATGGAGTGATTTCACCAGCGGAAGGATTATGAGGGGGGCCAGCTGGAAAATGTAGCCCGAAAATGGGAATCAGCTGCTTGCAGCCTCCTTGGTTCCCAGGTCGAGCAGATGTGCATACTACGTACGCTTCATAAGCTCGATTCATGCAGAATTCTAAGCGATTACAACGTCATATATCGTGCATATGTAGTACTCCAAAGCAGATGTAGTTTGCGTTGCGTCCCTTCCGACAGAGATTACGAGACACCCTCTGTTCTTCGTGCACCACGGACGCCTCGATCGGTCGTGCTGGACATGACAGCGACCAAGTCCTCGTGATCGTCAACGACGGTACTTTGGAGAGAACATCTCGACAGCAGCCGCACAGTTCAAATGTGCCCTTTTTTGTTGGTGGCTTTGCGGAAGCCGTACCATGTGATGGGGGAGGAATACAACCGGCCTCCACTGCTGGACATGTATAATAGGCAATATGAAGCGACAAAGTAGGAGTAGGATCTGACAGCCTCTATGAAACGTACAGAACCAGCTCCGTTATAGAGAAAATTCTCACAGTCACAGCGCGGGGTAAGTGCCCGAGACGCAGCGTAGCATGGAGGGGTGCTGCGGGAGCGTCGGCGTGCTTGTGATGAGGAAAATGAGAATTCGTCCGATGGGGCTCGTTCGCGAGTCGTAATGGAATACGACCCGCGTCGCAAAAAAAACGGCCACTCTGCTGCGGGAATTTCTCGACGGGCGCACATGATTGTCGCCATATGTCGTGTGGCGCATATCAGTCGCGTGCATCAAGTGGTGCAGCCTCTACACGTGTTCCATGACTGCTTTGTGCTTTGCATCATGCGGGACGTGTGTCCTCGGGGGCTGGCATGGTACACCGGCACCCGTTGTTGGGAAGTTTATAGATGGCTCTTTCCTCCGTTTTCCGCTTCGAGCCCCCTTCCTTTACTATTGCGTGACAGGGCAATTTTCTCCGGCTAGAGGCTCATTCTCTTGCTTCCAAACTTCCTTGGATAGAGAAATGGCCGCGGGCGAGGGGCCTCGTGAGCGCCCTTGCTCCGGCGCAGCAGCCACGCGGGACGAGCACAGCCGGCTGCTTCCACCGCCGGGCGCTGCCGCGAGAAACGCATCCTATGCCATTGTCTTGCGCTGCTTTTTCCTGAGCATCTGCATGGAGATTGGCAACATCCTCGTCACGGTCCCGCTGAACCAGATCCTGGAAGCCATCATCTGTCGGCAGATGGTGTCGGACCACGCAGACGGCGGCGGCGGCGTGGATCTCGGCTGCAAGAACCCAAACGTGCAGAGGGAACTGTCCTTTATTCGCGGCTGGCAGCTTACCTTTGATGTCATCCCGGGGCTCCTGACGGCTATGCTGTACGGTCTGGCGGCCAAGAGATACGGAAGGCAGTTTATTTTGGCGTTGTCCATCTTGGGTGCGGCGCTGGCCGCTGCCTTCGTCGTCTTTGTTTGTATGCTGATTCTGTGACGCGCCCTATTAAGAATCACCCTTGCTAATCAGGATCCCAGGCTCCTTTCCAGCTCTCTTCTCGCCGCGCCTTGTATGGCTGTCGTCTGCATTCACCTTCATTGGAGGCGGCGTGCCCGTCTTCAACGCCATGATCTTTGCTCTACTGAGTGACGCAGTTGACGAAAGCAAACGGTAAATCCTCTTTTTTTTTTTAAGTGGCAAACATATTACTGACATATCACAGATCAACCACGTTCTTCTACATGAACGCCACGCCTATTGGCACCCAGGTGCTGGGAGGTGTCGCCGCGTTTCTGCTCATGCGTGTGAGCCCGTGGCTGTGTATTTACTGCGGCGCTTCTTTTTCCGCCATGGCCACTTTGATAGCCTTTTTGTTCCCGGCAAGTGTTCTAAGCGGCAAATTTGTTGAGCAAGAGGTCACCGACACCGCCGAAATACAGACACTTTGGGGGCATCTCCAACAACTCAGAGATGCCTTCCTGTGGTTTACACGGGAAAACTTCGTCACCATATCTCTGTTATCTACCTTGCTCGTAACAACACTCGGTCGCTCTGCGCCCGACATTCTTCTACAATACATTACCAAACGATACGGATGGACTTGGTCAGACGTGAGTGCACCGATTTTTCGTCTTTTCGGCCCTTTATGTGCAAACCGAGTACTCATGTATTACAATACAGGCTTCTTTGCTGGTATCAATCCACTGGTTCATTACACTTCTTCTCCTTGCCATCATTCTCCCATCAATAACGCAATTCCTTATCCAAGGAAAGGGCCTGCCTTCTCAGAGAACTGATCTACTTCTTGCCCGGATCAGCATTATTGCTTCGTCCATCGGAGCCTTTTTCATTGGACTATCCAGCAACATTCCATTTCTTACTGTCGGTCTTGGACTATTTACGCTGAGTTACGCCTATCCAATGCTGGCACGAAGCTTGCTAGCATCCGTCGTGGACAGCCGCCATACAGATGTCATGTACACCACCATTAGCATCTTCGAAGCTCTGGGATCCATCATCGCCGGGCCGCTGCTATCGGCGTCGTTTCGTCAGGGGCTGAGTTGGGGTACGGATTGGCTGGGGTTGCCGTTTTTACTTGCCGGCGTTCTCTTCGGGTCAGCCGTCGTTGTTCTCAGCTACGTACGCCTTGCAAGCAGTTTTGTCAGCAATGTGTAGATTTGAATGGATTTAATTTGGTACGGAGATGAGTAATTTTTTCTTCATTACTGCTAGATGCAAGTACTATCAATGTCACCACTTGAGCGCGATTGAAACGCATGCGTATTCATTCCTATTAATTGATAAGGTATAATTTGATAACTTATATGCTCGAAATGATTCAACGCCTGAAATATGCGATGTGTTACCTTGTAAATGTGAAATCCTTTAACTCCTGTTGCGCGCACGCCAACGTGTACCAACAAGCCAAATCATATTTTGAGCGAATTTTTATCGTCCTTGAACTACTTACCATGCAGCGTGGCCGCCGTCAATACGCAGGTCCGATCCTTGAAAAAGTCAGTATGCTGTGGTTCCTTCAAGCTCGTTGGCGCGACTTACCAGTCATGAAGCTCGAGGCGTCGGAAAGCAGGAAGACGCCAGCACCACGGAACTCATGAGGCAGTGACAGACGGCCCAGCATGTTCTCCGAGGCCCACTGATCCTTGCGGTGAGGGTGGGTGACGAAGAGGTTCTGCAGCATCTCGGTCATGATGTAGCCGGGCGAGATGGTGTTGACGCGGATGCCGTAGGGACCCCACTCGGCGCCGAGGTTGCGGGCGAGCTGCATAACGGCGGCCTTGGAGGCATTGTAGACGCCGCCGTACATGCCCCTGTTGGCAATGGTGCCGCTCATCGAGGCAATCATGGCGATGGAGCCGGGGCGCTTGAGGCGGACCATCTGCCGCGCCGCCGCCTGGGCCGTCATGAAGCACCCGGTGACGTTGATGCTCAGCATGCGCTCGCACTCCTCCTGGGAGTACTCGAGCGCGGTCGTCTCGTAGTTGATGCCGGCGGCGGCGATGAGGCCGTCGAGGCGGCCGGTGTGGTCGGCAATCTTGCGCATCGTCTCATTGAGCGCCTCGTTGTTGCGGACATCGAACTGGTGGTAGCTCAGGGTGGTGCCGAGCTCCTCGCGGGCGCGGCGCTGCACCTTGGAGAAGTGGGAGTTGGGGTCGTTGGAGGGAGGGTCCAGCCGATCAATGCAGTGAACTTTAATATTGTGTTAGTGGCGCTCGAGGTGGAACCGAGGGGGACGAGACGAACCAATGGCGCCTGCCTCGAGGAGAGCCTCAGCCTGCACGAGACCCAGACCGCGGGCACCGCCGGAAACGACGACGACCTTGTTCTCAAGGCTGAACTCGGGCAGCAGGTGAGGGCGCGTGACGGGGTTAGGCTCGAGGCGAGCAGGAGAAGAGTGGAAGCTGCGGGTAGCAGAGGCAGCAACAGGACGGGCAACGCGAGCAGAGTGAGTAATTGGGGTGGCAGAAGCTTTGGCCGCCAGGCGGAGGGCAGGAACAAGTACTCGAGACATTGTAATGCGTCAATGTATGTTGTGTGAGCGAGGTTGGAGAATGGTAGGAGAGCAGGCTAGAAGACTGCACACAAATAAAGTATAACGAGACTGGATGAGTGAAGGAAGGAAGAAGAAGGAAGAGAGCGAGAGGTGTGGGAGGGAGGGCTGGATGCCTTTTTGTACGAAAGGGACCAAAGCACAAGGGGTCACGATAATTGACAAAGGTGTACACGCACGAGACAGAGCTGCACAAGCTTGTAAGCCACACGGTGTGTACGGGTGGCGGCGAGTCCACGAAAGGTGTGTGTGACTAGTATAAAATAAGCGGTTATATGGAGGTTCTGGATGCGGGGGGGACACCCCGCCTTGGCAACAAAAAAGGTTGAAGCGATCGTGGGGAGGACCAGAGCGCGGAGAGTAGAGCGAGGACCAATTTCTCATCCTAGCCGTCACGCGGACAAAAGTGTAAAAACGGGGATAAAACGCTCCAGGACGAGGGCGAGAACGGCGTCGACTTTCGGGCAAGGTGGAGAGCGTTTGGGGGTCGGGGGTGCGCAGGAGGCGCTTAGATGGACACCCCTGCTCCGGAAACAATGGACTGGAATTAGTATGCTGGTAATGGGGATTCGAGGGGTGTCGCAGGGAACTCGTCCAGGGACCCCGGGTCATTCCATCGAATGACTTGCCAAGCTGGCTTGCTCTGCAGTTGCCAGTGACATTCGAGAGAAAAGGACCAGTTTCCGGCACAGAGTAGAGAGCAAGAAGGAGGTACGAAAGTCGAGGACCAACCTTTACAGCCTGGCCAGGAAAGTCAAAAGCCTAAACCTGTTCGAATGGACCGGAGATGAGCTAGGCCTATCGACGTTGAACAAGTGGTACGCGACGAGGGCAAAAAAGAGGCGTACATACCAGCATCGCGATCACGGGTGCGTGCGACCAGCCAAGACATGCAGCTAAGGAAAGCGAACTGCTTGCCCAACCTGCAAGTTGCAACAGGGGGAGGGGGGAGAGGAAACAGGAACGTGACGGCTGAATTGGAAGGGGGGGGGGGGTCTCCATTGTAGAGCCTTTTTTTAGCTGCTTGCGCAGCCCGAAACATTGGATCTTATTTTCCGGCGCATGCCCTTTGGGTAGCAGGCCGTTTGAGCCGAGATTTCGCTTTTTAGGGAGGGTGGACAACTTGGCAATAAGAATGGGCGAGTTGGAGTACCAGATAATGAGGACGAAAGGACCAAGGAGAGTGGGAGCAGTGAAGAGGTGTCGTTGGAGGAGGGGCAGAGGGGTAGCCTCGGGATGCCTCAATGCGTTAGTCTGCAGATGGGCGGGGTGGAGAATGGGTTACGGCACTCTGCCGCGCCCGTATAAGACGCTCATTGGACAATTGCCCACAGCACTTTATTTTTGCCCGT